TGTCTGAGGAAAGTAACGAAATGCAATCTGTTGATATACATGTAATAGAGTAGGCCTGCTTTCCAGCAGCCGTGTTTCCCGCTTGTAACCCTTCTTCTTTTCCTGTTTTTATTATTATTATTATTATTATTATTATTATTATTATTATTATTGTTGTTGTTGTTGTTTTTATTATTATTGATTTGCCACTTTTCAGTGTAGTGTAGAGTTTCCACAATCTTTTTATTGTGCACCCTCTGTGTGTACAGATGGAGTGGAGGTTAAAAAAACTGCTTACATCACTGGGATAGTTACTAAGAGGCGAACTATTTTCCCCATATTCAGCACTACACCATCAATTGACCCACAATTCCTTCTGTGTCTTGAATTCTTGTCCACTTCGTCTTATTGTTCCTAAATATGTATTATTAATGAAAATTATTCAACATGGACTTGTCTTAAATAGACGCGTGAGATAACTTTAATTCCTTTTTGTATAATAAAATTCTTAATTTCATTTTATGCAATAATGTTTATTAAGTATAAAAAGGGCAAAGACGAATGGAAAAGACGGTCTAAAAGAAAAGTTGTGATGAACATCTGTTTCCAAACTAACGAGACATATATGTACAAGTTATGATGACCATGGACATACGCGGAACAAAATCTATCTTCCCGGACAGCTAACGTCCTTGACGTAGCCAAGTCCCCTGTCCACTCCTGTCACCGCGACGTCACGCCACAGGGCCACCTTGACCTTGACCTCGACCTTGACCTCGACCTCACATATCTTGACTCATTCCCACGGTCTCGCCTAGTACTGGCCATTGGCACTACCAGGCTCAACACCATCGGAACTCCAACAAGAACAGTACTTTGATAAATAAATAATGAGGTTATATGCCCTATAAGTTATCGGGACATCTAACACCTACTGTGTAGACCTTTATGTCGTTTTAATTTGGTCAGTTATGGATGGTGTGAGAGAGATCTTGTTCATTTTGATGACTTGGTAAAAATAGCTGGTGAGCATATCCCAATGGAATGTGTATTTCTTTGAAGTGACAGAATAAAGAACACAGCTTATAGTCCCGTTTTCTGAATATACAGACAATGGAAGAGATGCCTTGAACTGACTTGGGACAGAAGGAGTTAGAAAGCTCATGTATTCGTATACGCACAGTTATATATGGAGAGTCTTTTGGAAGTTTGGAAGTAAGAAAGAGTTGGTCGGTAGAAAACGGCTGAGAACAAATAAAAAAAGGAAAAAATTCAAAATGCTGATTAGTTTTGGCTCATTAAACTGTACATGCTGGGTATATATGCCATGAAGTTCATTGCAATTATTTGCGAAATACTAATCGATGATAAAACCAACTATTGTAAAAATTGAAAGCCCCATTCTTCAGCATGTTAGTGCTTCCTAAATCCCACCTGGAGTAAAAAAAAGGTGGTTTACGGTGATGTTGTACTGTAGTTGTTGTTGGTGGTGGGAGTGTGCGGAGATGGATGTTGTTTAATGTGAAGCGAAAATTTTACACGCTCTCTCCCCCTCCCCCCCTCCCCCCCCCCCCACACACAC